TAAGTGAGAAAACATAGTAAAATTGAAAGGCTAAACAGGTTACAAAAAATGAATTCCTTTCTTTTCGTGTTATTTTTAAAGAAATAATTGTTTCCTTTCCCCTCTTTAGAGTCTGCTGCTAGTGATAGCAGATATTGAAGAGAAAATAAGAAAAAAAAAAAAAGCTATAAAAAAAGATAAAATAAAGAACATGAGGAATAAAACCTACCCACCCCTCATCTGTTGGCGTTGATCAGTGGTTTATGATGAGAAAGAGGGCTACATTTAGCTCTAATGCAAGAAATAGATAGTTGAAGAAATGATGAGGAACAAAAACATGTCAGGGAACAAGAAGGGTGACCTCCCTCGATTCCCTAGATATTGCGATAATGGCATAAGCTTCGACAGGGCAAGAAGCATTAAGCCTCAACCAAGCATCAATGCAGCAGAGGTGAAAGAAATGTCGACAATCGGGCATCATCCTCAACATCTCTCTATCTGAATTTTTTTGTAAAAGATCAGCGTTAAAGTTCTTTTTTATTATTTTCAGTCTGCTAAAAAATAGTTCTAATTATTAAAGTTTTTTTTTCTTCTTCTCTCAACAAAAGAAAAATGGAAAGAGAAATCATGTCAAAGTAAAAAAATTACCCTAATGCATGCCTAGATTTAATGGTTGTGATGATATGGGTATGCAATGGATCCCGTTTCAAGCAACCCCGCTATGTCTTCAATCATCTTTCCTTGTGAGTGAAGCTCGCTCACCATTCTATCCTACAAACATTAACAGAGCAAGAACAATTAGTCTATGTTTCTCTCTGTTTTATTATTAAAGTATGAACAAAGAAAACCATAGAAAAGGAAAAGGAACAAAGAATGCCTTCCATTCACCCCCTACCCCCCCCCCCCTTAAAAAAGAAGAAAAATCCCTCTTTGAAAGAAATAGAAGGTAAGGTGTGGAGATCTGATTCAACACTCCATTAGTCCTTCAACAAAAATGTTGAGGGAAAGAAATAGCAAAATCAAAGAAATAAATACTTTGAAACCCAGAAACACGGAACCAGTAATGGGAAATCACAATACTAGTAGAAAAAGATATGCACCACAAGAGCGTTCCAAGGCATGGTGGGCAAGCTGATCGAACAACTGGGTTGCACCCATCTCGTCAGAGAATCTCCAGATGCTGCCCACGAAAACACGAGACACTTCCTATGAAAAAACCAGGTGAAGATGCCATCGTGAGCTCTTTGCATGCCAGACGCTCCCTAGAAAACACATCGTCACACCGGCACCACTGAAATGATCAGACACATCGTCAAGCATCCAAGACAAAGAAAAAATAGGCAAAAACTTTAGATCCCAATGAAGGCCTTGTAGCCGAACCAAATCGCTCGGACACATGCAATGAAAAAAATATAAAAAAGTATGAATGCGTGAAAAAGCTTGAATTTGAATCTACAATGAAAGAATAGTAAGATTCCGTTAGACCACCCCTTTCGCTTTAATATATATACTAGCGGGGGGAACAAAAAACAGACTGAACTACTTGGTTTCTTTAATAAAGTAACAGAATACTTTGTACTTAGATGGAATTAAATTCAATTCGAAGTTCTTGATTTGTTCCATAAAATCAAGTTCGAAGTGTAAGAGGGGCAACACAGAAAAAATGTTAAAATAGATTTTGAACCATTTTAAGCAACACTTTCCATATCAGAAAATGGTGAAATTCAAGTACTTGGTTTGAAGAGTCTAAGTTTGAAATGTTAGATGTGATTACCCTTGAAAACCCATCATATAGATAGCTAACACTGTTTGAATATCTATAATTGTACATGTAATTAACATTCTAATCCCTCCTATATGCATTCCCTGGTATCTATAACTATCTAGGCTATTCCTCCTAAACAATCAAGTCATTGTTAGTAACTATCCAAAGTACAACAATAAGCAACTGTATATATGAATAATTCAAATTTTTTATAGGTCCTAGGAAAAAAATGCATTCATTGTAGAAATCCATGATGTATAAGGCTGACATTTGTAATAATGAAC